TCCGGCGATCACCAATCTTCATCGTTAACAACTTTATCACTTTCGTCAATTGTTTCACTGATAAATGGACCATCATCATATGTTCGCAGTGTATTTTTATCACGATAAGCAACTGAATTCAGATGTTTTACACAATTTTTATCAAAATGAATACTGCACAACCGGTCACTGGGTTTGATTTGAAAATTGAGAAACTGAGCCACTCTTTTCGTACTGCTGAATCCTTGGGAAACCTGAATAGGCTTCGCTTTTCGTCGTGTCCATCTTTATAATTGCAAAAGTGAGCAAAACACTTCATTCTGAATTTTATTCCACTCCGTAAAAACTCCAGCTATGAACAATGTCAACAAACAATCACAAAGTCACGAATCGGCTCTGCACAAAAAGCCGTTTGACACTTCTCTCTACCAACCGACGGTGATGAAACGTTTATTTCAACACTACCAACATGAAGAAAATTTCACTTCGCACCACTCAGGCTAAAACCTATTGCATTCAATTGTACGATCGATAACCAACCTCTGCAGCGTGTGGACAACGTTCGTGATCTAGGAATTACACTTGATTCTGCTTTGACATTTAAGCTACATTACACGGATATCATAGCCAAAGCTAACAGGCAACTCGGATTCATCTTTAAGATCTCTGATGAGTTTCGGGATCCTACCTGGCTGACAGCTCTATTAGGGTAACCAACTGATTTTGGACCCCTAGAGGAAGTGAGATCACGTTTATGTCAAAATAATATTATTTGTTTATTATTATTATGCAATTTACATGCGGTTGTGCTCGAAAGCTACTCATCTTGGATGTAAAATGTCACTAGATGTTTTATTTATTGATATATACTCGAAAAATAATTTTTTTCACATCATGATATTCACATATTTTGGACCCTTCCACTTGATTTTGGACAGTGTCCATAATATATTTTGGACACACTGAATGGAAACGAATATATTTTGGACATGCTGAAGTTCTTTCAACCTATGAGCCTAAAATTAATTACGACGGTCCCTTCTTCCTATCTCGCATTTGTTAGGTCCGTCTAGGTGGGAAAATTTTTAAAGAATGTGCCGTAAAACGGGGTGAAATCGATCAGCGGGGTGAATTTGATCGCTGAGTATACCCAATATTGTACTTATGCATAATATTTTTACAATGTATACAAAGATACATTCGTACGCTTAGTAACGAAAAACATGTTACACATGAAAAAATATCACGAGAAATTTCAGCGATCAATTTTGCCCCGCTGATCAATTACACCCCGTTTTACGGTATGCATAAAAGTTAACCCCCTGTTACTCGCGCTGTTGTACTTTGTACAACACATATGAGTTTTCCATTGCCATTTTGTTGCTGCCAATTGATCTGAAACCAACTTGTATTCCTCAAAAAACATGTTTTGAACAAAAAAAGCTAAACTTTCATTACAATTAACCCCCAAAATGCGGATAATAGAGAAAATGTAAATAGAAACCGCGTAAACGGTGTCCATACTACGTGGGATTGACTTAATTGGTTACAACATGGAATATCTCGAGATCCTGACCAGATAGAAAGTTACTGTCTTCGGCAAAGTTGTTCAGGGGATCAAAGCCTTTTGGCTAGTGGACGGTAGTTCAGAATATTTCACTTCATGGTACTAGTATATACGTGCAATTCTCGCATATGATATATCTCAAGACCTGCTAAAAATGTACTGTAATCGGCAAAGTTGTCCAGGAGATCAAACCCTATCGTTGGTGGAAAGTACATAATTTTCTCACTAGGTGACGTTGAAAGACGCGTGAAATCCTTGCATATAAAATATCTCTGAATGACCCGCATACTAGTGCCACGTAAAGGGAAAATTCTGAATTACTGTACACCAACGAAAAGATCCTAACATCCTGAACAACTTTGCCGAAGACAGTAACTTTCTGTCTGGTCAGGATCTAGAGATATTTTATATGCGAGAATTCCTCATGTATACTTGCGTTGCAAAGTGAGAAAACTCTGAACTTAAGTCCACCAGCAAAAAGGCCTTGACTTCCTGAACAACTTTTCCCAAGACAGTAACTTTTTATATGATCAGGATTTCGAGATATTTTATATGAGAATTTCACGTATATACTAGAACCATATAGTGAAAAAATTCTGAACTATAGGCTTTGAACTCCTGAACAACTTTTTCGAAGACAGTAACTTTCTATCGTGTCAGGATTTCGAGATATATCACATGTATACTAGCGCTATGTAGTGAGTAAATTTTGAACTACTGTCCACCAGCAAAAAGGTTATGATCTCTAGAACTACTTTGGCAAAGACAGTAACTTTCTATCTCGTCAGGATCTCGAGATATTCCATGTTGTAGCCAATTAAGTCAGAACCCTCGTAGTATGGACACCATTTACGCGGTTTCCATTTACATTTTCTCTATTATCCGCATATTTTGGGGGTTAACTGTAATAAATATTTAGCTTGTTTAGTTAAAAGCAAGTTTTTTGAGGAATACTCGTTGATTTCAGATCGATTGGTAGCTCGGCTGCAAAATGGAAATGGAAAACTCACACTGTTGTACAAAGTACAACGCGTTAGTACTCGTGTTACAAAAGTTGGTGCGAGTAACGGAGGAAATATAATATAACATAAGGAAACAACTGATCATACCATAAAAAAAAATCATTCAGAAGTAAATCTTAATACGGAGACCTGACTCTATGCTTGCAGTCCATATTATTTTTTGTTTGGGCTGTTCATAAACTACGTAGACGGTTTTTGAGAGATTTCAACCCCCCCCCCCCCTTCTGCACAAGACAGTCTCAAACACAAAATTTAAAAAAATTGTATGGACCGTAGACATCTGCCAAGCGCTCCCACCCCCCTAAAGCGTCTACGTAGTTTATGAACAACCCCTTAGTTAAATGCGTTTGGGAGATAGGAAAACTTTTGTGGAAAACTAGGAACTAGGAAAACTAGGAAAACTCAGAGTGGACCACTCTACGTGTTTTGCCGTTTTTCCCATTTTGAAACGCCTGATAAACAAGAAATATATTTAAAAACAATGAATTCATATAATTTTGATTGATTTACTTACCAATTTAATCAGAAATCTGAGATAATAGCACGATCGACCAACCGGAATTTGTTTTGTCGCTCTTTTGATGATTCTCATTTGATAAGTGTCCAAAATAAGTTGGTAACATTTTTTTACGATCTTTTTTGGACACTTTTTATTTAATACTTTTTAAGTAAAATCTTAAGGTGAAATCTTTATAAACACGTGAAATACATCTTCCAAAGTCAGATAAACTGATTTGATAAAAAAATCATTGAATTGTATATTTTAGACCAAATTTAAAACAAATACACTAACGCCGATTCCTCTTGACAAACGTCGAAACATGAAACTTTTTCGATAATATTTTCTAAAACTGCATAAATTGAGCAATTGTAAGCAATTTGAGGTGAACTAATGATCTTGAGACAGAGTAAGTAATTGAAAGAATGTAATTACAACATCAACCCAGATGAATTTGAAGAAACTAGACAGTAAGCGAGGAAAATATATGAAAAGGGTCCAAAATATGTAGGGGTCCAATTCAAGTTGGTTACCCTATGTTCTCTTGTGCGATCGATCTTGGAATTTGGTGTAGTAGTATGGTGTCCGTATGAAACAGTTTGGATAGCGAGGATCGAGTCTGTTCAGAGGAAATTCGTTCGTTACGCTCTTCGCCACCTTCCTTGGTACGATCCTACGAACCTTCCACCCTACGAAGATCGTTGCCAACTACTGGGTATTGCAACTCTTGAACGGAGGCGGAAGATTAACCAGGCAGTTTTTGCAGCAAAAGTGCTGACAAGCGAAATCAACTCTCCCGGGATTTTGGCTGCATTCGAAATCTATGCACCTGAACGAGTTCTACGATCGAGAAGTTTCCTGCATCTCAGACCCCGTGCAGCTAATTACGGATTACATGATCCAATACGGTTCATGTCTGCCCGTTTCAATGAATTCTATGTTTTTTTTTCGATTTCAACTGCACAGTGGAAACATTTCGTCAACGGATTCAACGTAGTCTGCTGGATAGGTGACGATACGGTTCGACACATGCAACTGCTTCCAATCAGCAAATTGTTGCAAGACGGTGAGTAGCTGTCCATTAATGTACATCTGATGAATTTTGCTACCTGTTTCCTTTTTTGTTCCAGATCAACTCTGCGATGACGGCCTCGACTGATCCAAGGACAACTCCATGCGAGGTTATTTTTTTTTTATGATGAAGGCCGTAGTATTATTATTATTATTCGGTGTTTATTTTTATAATTGATGTGTTTTTCTGTCCTTTCTATATTGTTCCTTGTATTTTGAAAATATATGGGGTTTTTACGCCTATTTGCGCAAATATTTGCCAAATAGGCTTTTCCCCATAAATAAATAAATAAATAAAACGATTTGGCGGAACCGTGCACTTTTATCACACTTTTTGCATTTCTGTCCCAGTTTCAGATGCAATCAGCAATATGAATGTTGTATTCATGTAGGGACGATTTTGGATATTATTTTTAAAGATACATCATTACAAGCACACCACGAAAAAGTCATGTAAATTTCGGTTAAGAATCAGTTGAAAGAAACTAGAAAATCAATTCAATCAAACGTTCTTTTCGTCAACTTGCTTATGTTTCGGTTTGAGAACACTTAATTTTACATGAAATGTTTGTTTACGTTCCATGATTTAGGTCCAATATGGATTACGTCTCGCAGTAAAATTAGTTATTTCTAAGTGTGAGCATTGTGTTTCAAACTGTCAATTCAAATGTCTTTCCTCATATAGTTGAACAACTTCGTGGCGTCAGAAGAATCTTTTCCTTCGCTGCATCGACACATTCTGCCGTGCGCCACTGCTACACATGAAACCTGTTGCGTCTGTATTATATCGCTATTTTTAAATATTCCATTTAGTGGCACACACTCATGCAATGACGGTAGAAAGATTGACAGTTCGTTATCGCTCCGCAGTTTAGGTTTGTTGTCCGCCGATTGAACGTGCTTTTCGTGCAAACGTCTCGGTGCGGTGTGAGTCATTTGCCCTGTGAATTTTTGATAGTCGAAAGTGTTCAGTAAGTTTTTAAGTCTATCTGTGAATCATGAATTCAACATTCAAACTAAACTCAGGACATTTGATTCCTCTGATTGGATGTAAGTACCTCATTCTGATAACTCTATTTTACCTGCCTGCAAGTTTCTTTTATGATTCCTTTTCGAACGAAACTTAAGTACAAGTACGTAATTTTAAAAGCGAAATTACTTATTCATTCTGCTGCATGTAAATTTCCATTAAATGATTGATTCAATTCTAAACGACCGACATTCACTTTCGATGCAGCTCGTTCCTACGGAGTGTTTCGTCATTTCGCTTCAATATTACTAGAATAATTTTAAATTCGAACCATAAACACTGTTCATTTACCCAAAACTTACAGTTGGTACGTACCAAATTTACGGTAGTGAGTTAATCTACGAAACGCTGGATTATGCGCTGAAGGCTGGTTATCGTCATATCGGTTAGTAACTTATGCTTGGATGTGGGTGCTTGTGGTGTTCTGGAAACTAATATTCTATTCCTTAAATCAAATCCTTTGGACAGACACTGCCGTAGTCTATCGCAATGAGGAGCACATTGGAAACGCTCTGAAGAAATTACTGCCTAAGTACAATTTGAAGCGAGAAGACATCTTCATTACCTCGAAGCTAAGTAAGTTGGATTACGGAAAAACGAACATTTTTGCATAGCGTTCATTAATTCTTTACAATCAACTTCACTCACGTTTCTTTAGTATCTCAAGTAAACAAAGGCGAACCGTTCGTGGAGGAGCTCGTGTTAAAGTCATTGGCCAATTTACAAACTGAATATATTGACCTTTACCTCGTTCATTGGCCCGGTGTTAGCGGTAAGCTGATTTTCGTTAAACTCAATCCATTTTTTAAAAAAAGTCCGTGAATGTTATGTCACATTAAATGGACTGTTACGCATTGTTTTAATTTTTCGTCCTATCAGAAGGGAGAAAGAGTCTTGTGTGATTATTAAACTATCATTTGCAGGGCTTCAGGTATCCCATCCAGACAATGTTAAGTATCGCAAGTGTACATGGAACGTTCTGTCTAGACTGCATCGCGAAGGCAAGTGTCGGTCGATCGGTGTTTCGAACTATACCGTCAAGCACATTCGGGAACTGCTAGCTGATTGCAACGGCGTGCGGCCAGCTGTCAACCAGGTATGCTCATATCCCTTGGGTTTGTTCCTTAATTACACAGTGTGTGGCTGCTGACTTTTTTTGTTGGGTCATTCAGTTGTGAGGTCATCCAGTACGAATTGTAGTATACCTCAGGTATCGAATAATGAAAACCTGCTTTAGTGTTCTGGTCCCCGTTTTGGTAGTGTATAGAGGCACAGAATTTACGAAGAAATAGTATATTTCTGTGCATTGTTACTAGAATGGACATTTTTTCTTTTAATTTTCATTACTGCCCACCTTGCTTCAAAGGGTAGGCCGATCTCTCGATTGAGCTAAGGAATCGGACAATGTGCCACATTATGCAAAACTCTTAACGTATAATCCTCGTAGTATGCTTCTATCATGGCACACTATAGATTCGTGTGATTGACTATGCGGAATTAGGCTTCTAAGGGACCTTCACCAAGATATGCCCTGTGTCGTGATGTATGTTGATAAACTTAGATGCACTAGAAAGCGAACAGAGTTCACAATCAGGCCTATTCTGCACTGCGAGTTAGGTGAGGTGACCCTCTGCAGGATAAAAAAAAATGTTTTCATGCTTAGCCAGTTAATTAATTTTTTATTTGGAATATTTTGTAACTGAAATCGACGACAATAAATAAAAATATTAAAATGTGTGCAATTTGCAGGAACATTTGTGATCGTGATATCCCGTTTTCGTTATATGCATCAACATAATTCATGTTCGCGTATGAAATATTGATGTTATTGCAAAAAGCAAGTACAATATTACATCCATGGATGTAAATTTGTTCGCCAATTCTGTGTACACCATACATCGTAATATTACACGACCGATGGAAAGACCTATGTGCATTTGTTGCTGTGTAATATCCAACAACTGTTTTTTGCTGTGGTTTGCAATCATTAGTACAGCGCTATAATCACTGCTTGAGTATCAAGAGTTCACATGGATCCCAGCAGTTGACCTGCTTTTCGTAATTATAAGCTTGCTCACCTTGATTTAAAATGGTATATAGATGATTGGGGTTAACCAAGTAATCGTGTCGTTGGTAATGATGCAAAAAAAAATCGATTATTCTGATGCTTCTAAACAGAATAATAAGCTCCATGTTTATAGCTACATGGTTGTTCAACAAACAGTAATCAAATTCAAATTGGTTTCTATGTACCGTAAAGCATTAAAATCCGGACACTTAATTATTATGTAATGCCTTCCATCGTCCATGTTCATTACACGTAATTTATTATGCTGCTGATTGTATACCTCACGAACTGTATATAAACTTAAGAACAACAGATTTAAACAACTTAAAAAAAAAACCCTCACCGAAATACTCTAAACACACTCTTTTCAATCCCACTGCTGAATCAATTATTGGGAAAAAGGAGGGTAACTTATTCCAGATATTAATACCTCTTACAAATAAAGAGCTTCCATAATGAGCTGTTCTGTAGCGGGGGTTAAACATTTTCGTCCTGGCTGGCTTTTCACTGGTAACATTTTTGTGTATGGGTCATTCCATTCAAGTGCCCGAGCAAATGCATCGACCCTCTCCGATTTGAACCAAACTTGGCGGGTCTAATTATTTTAGGCCATAACCAAAAAAATCCAAAGTTTTGTGACATTCGGCCAACTCACCTGTTCTGGGGACTGCCCCCCTCCGCTTTTGTCCGATTTTTAATAAACACATTGGGTACCCTGCCAGTGTTGTTCATTTCAAAACTTTAAATGCTAATATTTAAAAATGCCAAATTTTTTTTTATTTTGATGATGCCATTGTGAAGAAAAGTTGCTGGTTTGGATTCACCCAGCAAGTAATAGAAAGATACATAAGGCAATTCCATATTGAAGTTATCATGTCAGGAAGAAGAAGAAGAATAAGACAAAAAAAAAATACTATAGAAATTCAGGGTGTCTACTAACTAATAAAAAAGGAAACCGGGAATTCTCAACACTCAAGGAATTTTCTAATTGTCTTTTTTTTAAATAGTTATTTTAAGAACATAGGGGAAATGGCTAATGTTGGCCTGTGGATCTAAGATTGGGCCCATCGCTAAAAATCTGCTTTTTATCAATTTTATCTAGATGAACGTGTCATTGGGACGGTACTAATGAATATTTTTGGTCGCTATTGAAAATTGAGTCGATTGCTGAATGTAAGTGTGGGCCAAAATTAGGGGCATTCAGGCCGACATTACATCCAATTCCCCTACCTGATACATTTTAGTATGCGTTATTTTCTGTCACTCATTGAACCCGGAAAATTAGGGAATCTCAGGGAATTTCATTCAAGTTCATGGAAATATTAATCACTGAAATTTATTAATAAGTATGACTGACTAGGAGATCACCACTGAGAAGAACGGTACTTCATATGATAATTTTATTTACATTTAATTTTATTTACTTTGACTATATGTTTAGTATTACTTCTGCGTGAAGTCAACGATTTACATAGGTGAAGATGCTAATTGGTTAGTTAGTTATCACTTGATCACTTTTTTCAAGCCAGTCACTAAAAAGTCTCCTTTTTTAAGGCCAAGTCACTGAAGTCACTTTTTCTTGTAATCAGTCACTATTTTCAACTTTTTTTTAGCGCGAATTTATTTCAAAATTGATCATTCTTTGTGACGTTTAATCGTCTTTCTCTATCTGTACCCTGTATTTTCCAGGTTTTTCCAGAATTTTAATGGATAAATTCCAGGCTTATAATAAGAAAGCTATTTTTAAAATGCGTTCAAAAAATGTTTTTTTCGAAGATCAAAAACAACAGTAATCAACTCAACCGTTTTTAAGACATGGCAATCAGTTTTAAAGAAATAGTTTTACAATCAAATCCATTGAATGTTGAAGTTTCTCACTTTAAAAAAGTTAAAAAAACGTACTTAATTGGAGTAAGTCCAAGATCTAAAAATATTCAATGTCTTGAAGTTTCGTATTCCAAGTTTAAGTACAATATATGTAAAATTTTCAAAGTGCCTGAATTAAGGAAAACAAATAAATGATTTATTTCAAGTTCGTTACGAACTTAATGAAAGATGAGACATCTTCATTGCAGTCCCATTAACTTCACAACAATTGTAGAAACTTTGGAGACGTTCTGAGGAATGAAAGGAATGCTGAGAATTTCGGTGAATCTCCATAAACAAACTGCGGGAACATAAGGGAAGTTAACACGCTGAAAATATGGGGAACTTACTAGAAGCTTAAGAACCTCAAAGCGGTTCTTTTAGCATCCAAAAAATTTCAGGAACTTTTATGAAGTTCCTAGAATTTCAGAGAACTTCACAGGTGTCAAGCGAACTTAAGAAATATAGAAAACTTGAGGGGTATTGGGGAAATTTTTTAAGGAGTTCTAAGCACCTCAGAAAAGCTAGATCTAGAGATCTTTGGGGAATTTCAGATCTTAAGAGCAGTTCCCGTAACTTTAGTCCAGACTTTTGGGGCAGTTTAAACATCTATAATCGTAAAATTAGAAACATTCAGTATAGTTCCATGATATGCTGAAAAAAAAATCGAGAACCCTTAACATGTTCCGAGAATTGGAGGAAGTACAGAGAATTTATGAAAACTTTAAAAATATTTCAGGAACTTAACAGAAGTCCAGAGAATTTCTGGGAAATTTAAATGTGCTTACGGGAATGCCATTTATTTTCGAGCAGAACCGAGATCTTTAATTGAATTGAGAGCTTTATGAAAGCATCGAGAACATCAAGACAGATCAAAGGGAATTTCCGGAAACTTCTGCACAGCTTCGAGAGAATTTCTGGTGTTATATCATAGAGATTTCAGAGAACTTTAAAAAAATGCAAAAATTTAGCTAAGTTGATTAGAGAACATCAACAAAGTTCCATTAATTGAAAAAAATCGAGAAATTTTAGCAAAATGCGGGAGCATTTGAAAAAATTTTAGTAATCTAGTAAAATTGGAGGAATTTCAGGGAGAGGCCAGTTCCATTAGTTTCAGAAAATTAGTGGGATATTTAAAGCAGTTCCCTGATTTCAGATAACTTCGGAGACGTTAAAAAGTTAATTGGAGTCTTCGCATAAGTTTTAGAACTGTTCAATTAAATTCACCACAGTACAACAAGCCTCCTGAGAACTGCAAAAACTTTAGAAAAGTTTTGATAATTTCAGAAAAGAAAAGAGAACCTCAGAGCAGTTCCGTTAACATTAGAGAAGTCACATAAACTTTAAAGAAGTTTAAGAATTTGATGAGAAGTATTTTGAGGCTCAGGCTAGTTTAGCAAACTACAAAAGAACTTCAAGGCACTTTCATTAACTTCAGGAAACATTTGGGAACTTTCAAGTAGTTCTGAAAACCTCAGAATAGTCCATTCCATATTCAACGGAGATTTCTATTGAAATCTTCCTCAAAATTTTGGTGAAGCTATCTACCGAATTCAATTTTCTTTTAGTTTTCCTTGGAATTACCTTGAAGTTCTCCACAAAAATAAACCCTTTCGAAAGATTCTCCAAATATTCATTGAATTCATTTCAGATTTCCTTTTCAATCTCACTCCTTCCCTTGGAATTCTACTCACATTGAAAGTCTCCTAAGAATTCATTGGCATTTCTCCTCACAAATTCCTTAGATTTCTTCTCATAATTTGTTTGGCAAACTCTCCTGAGTTGAGTTTCCGAATTTCTTTTAAAGTGTCCTGGAGTTATTTGCTCCGGATTCGTTTTCTCCCACAAAGTTTATGAAATTATGTTCAGAATGCCCTTGGAATTTTCCTCTGAAGCTCACAGGAGTTGTGTTCCTCAGAAATTTCTAAGAGTTTTCATTAAAATTTACTTTTAATTCAATTCAGGGTCACTTTTTAGTCACTATTTTTACAACTATAAGTCACTAAATAAGTCACTTATTTCTTCAACATGGTCACTAAAATCACTATTTTTGACAGCAGTGATCGCTACCAGCCCTGCTTCCTTCAGATAACAACTGGAGTGCGGTGAAAATCGGTAGAACTGTTTCAAACACATCGTCGGCACTTGAGCGTGTAGGTGAT